TAAGTTTCCAAGTGAAATCAAATAAAACACCACAAAGACATAAAACACTGAAATACTCAAACATCGAGGTTGGATACGGATCCTTTGAGCATGTAATAAAATATAAATAAATGAAGAGCGTAAAGCGGCTCCAGAATCTAAGAACAAAAGAGGAAAATGTCCTCCAGTTTAATTAAAACCTGTTCAGGAACTAAATCACAGCCTGTGACTGGAAAATCATCACAGAGACTCAGAGAGGCGTCAGGATGTCGTTCTTTCACTCACAAAACGCAATTTAAACAGAAAAGAGTAGCTGCCAGTAAATCAGTTCAGTGGTATTTATGATGTCAGCTCTTACCCAGCATCCCTTTCTCCGCATTGGACAGACAAAGGTCCTTCTCGGCTGACGGCAGAGCGAACGCCACCACGTAGCATTCGACTCCGTCGGCCATGAGAGCCAGACCCAGCACCATGAAGAGCATCCACTGGAACTTCCCGTGGCCGCAGTCCTGCATGATGTCCTCATACTGCTCCGATAACTCCTCTAGCTCAGACGCAGCGCTGCCGCCTTCTCTGGACTTCTCCCTACGCAGAAAACATTTGGACTCTATTGTTAATACGATGGAATCTGAGAATAACCTCATGACCCACTGTATTATCTCAGAAAGCTCTAGTAAGATGTGCTCTGTATCGTCTGGGTGTTTAACATTTTGGCCTTATTTTTCAGATTCTCTTTAAGGGTTTTCTTAATGTTCTGAGATCTGTGATCGGCTGATACTTACATGAAGCCGATCTTATCTCCTGACCTTAGCCAACCTCTAAAAATCAGCCACTGTCCTCTTCTGCTTTGCAGTGAGAGACGTTTGACTGACAGACCGGACCGCCAGATCATCTGAAGTTACCAATAGTCGCTCCTCTGTTTCCAACTCAGCGACTTTCTTGTGATATTTAGCAACATTTCAGACCAGAAACATCCGTATCGGCCAAGTAGCAGGTCAGGCTTTTTAAAGATCAGAAATTAGTGATCAGCCAGAAAACTTCAACCGGTGCACCGGTAGTTCTCTGTTGTCCTGAAGCACTGATTCCATAAACAATGCAGTTACTCTGCCTCATCCTCATCTTCATCTCAATTCCAGATGCTGGCAAACATATTTTAAAACTTAATAAAAAATATGTTTGTTGCATGTTTATTGTCACCAATAAGACAACAAATATCTACAATATGTGAAAAAGTCCCATAAGCTCCCAGTACTAAATGCTGAAATACACCGCTCAGTCAGAAACAACCAATAAGAGCCAGGAGGAGCATCTTAGTGCTGTCAATCACCCTCGAGTACATTTGCCTCACACCTTCCTCTTTCCATCTGCTATGCTGCATCTGGTTCATCACAACAGAACCGGCTATTTAGTTTGAAGCAAAATATTTAGCTTATTAACTAAATATTTAGTTTGTAAACTAAATGACTTTTCATTTATTTAGGCCATGTTTTCCTGTAATGGTAGATGTTTCTATGCCATTATGAGGTTGATTGACAGCACTAAGACCCTCCTCTTGTCTCTGATTGGCTGTTCCTGGTCGGGAGCAGCTCAAGGAGGAAGTGGAGAATATCGATCTCTTCACAGATTATCTGCCTCAAAGTTACAATAACAAATTTTGCTGGACTATAAATTGTCCCACAAGTTTTCACAATAAACGATAATATTGTTGTTTTGAAACCATTTTCAATAAAGTAATGGTACAATAATGCAAGAACACATTCTCAAAGACCAACGTTAAATTCTAATGGGCATTTAACACTGGAGCTGGAAGACATTTAAAATATACAAAATAAATAAACAAAACAACTGAAACAACAAATGAATTATTAAAACCAAATAGACTTTTATCAACCAGTTTTTGGTAGAAAGAGAGAAAAGATCATTAACAGTAAATCATGTAAATGGAAATTATCGAATTTGTTCCAATTTATCATTGGACTAATTTATTTATTTCTTATTTCAACAGGCCTACTCATAACATACTGTCACGACATGCCGATAGTTTTAATATGTGTTTTATAAATTTGTTTTACACTGTATCTTTACAGAGAGGAGTAATGCCTCACCGTGCGGCTCTCTGTGCGGCCTTCACCTCATCAGGATGTGGAATCCCCTGGTATTCTCCTTCGTACATCTGATCTTCATCGTCGTGTCCCTCCGTCACGTCGCTCGCTGCGTCCTCTTCCTGAGGAGGATAATCCGCCTGGTAGCCGTAGCCGTCAGGACCGCCGCCTTCTCCGTAAGTCCCATAGCTGTCCCCGCCTCCCTGGTGGTACACGTTGTTCTGGTAATGGTCCGCCATTTCAGCTATATCAGCATTTAATAATGGGGGAACTAAAAGGCGAGTTTCCTGTCTCTTCTAGCAGAAAGATAACACAATGGACGTGTGTTATAACACTTGTTTGCACTGTTTGGTGACCAAAAACTAAATCCTATAGAGATCTCTCATCATTTGCTTGTTTTATTATTTGGTTGAAAGTAGAAAGTCAAAGTCGCTGCAGTCATGTATTGTGGGAGGAAAATCAAAAATCCAATCTGGAGTCTTCATTAGTTTGACCCTGGAAACAGAAAAATACGCATTAGTTAATTTCCCCTTAACAGCAGTGCCTAAAGCAAAAGATCAATTTGGGAAAAGTACTCAGAAATTTTAAGATTAATAAAAATAAAAATCTAAATTTCCATTTTTTTCAAGAAAATGTCTGAGTTTGAAAAGTCAAAAAATCTGCTAGAAAATCTGAAATGTTTGAAGCTCTGAAATTTTCTAAAACAAACAAAAAAAAGACATTTCTGAGTTTCAAAAGTCCAACATTTTAAAATTTTTTCTGGAAAATTTCTCAGACTTTTCTCAAGTTTTCCAGTTTTTTTGGTGGAAATTTACTCCTCCTTTTCTTTTTACAGTGTCCCTACACCCTGTTCCACTTCTCTTCATATTCAGTGGATGTGTAGCTCCACTATAACTGTACATACATATTATTATTGCTTAATAGACCTACAACTAAAAGGCCAGGAATGATACAAAACAGTGTATCTCAGTGGAAACAACATAAGGCTCAAACCATGTTATAGTAAATTTCCTTCTCACCTCAATTTAATGAAATGGGATGTTTATATGGGATATTTTGTTTCACATTATCTGGAAGCAATATCAGATTACATCAAACTCTGAGGCTGCTGTTCTTCAGTAAACGCACAGAATAAATCAAATGTTTTCCAGGCTGAGTGTTAAGATGATACACTGAGCAGTTTTCCACTTCACTCATCGCCCATATAACAGATGAACATAAGAACAATAAGCTTCTGCGGTTTCTTTTCTGCTGCTGGTGATCAAACAGCGTTATGCCATTAGGTCAACAGCAGAGCACCATTAGTGGTCAGAACTGCTGCAGTTACTGCGGCACTTTGTTCCTCACAAACCAGCACTGTTTATCCGCCCACCGAGGTTTGTTGGGTTAATTCAACGGGGTGTTGCCCTCGGGGTTTACCTCCATAATCCGGTTCTGTTCCTCAGATTAGGAATAGAACATCGGTATCGGCCGATGTTTGTCATTTTTTCATACATCACAACCAAGCATTTTTGTCTATTTTCTGGTCCAAATATTTTACTATACTTGAAAGACGAAACAAACTTCTAAGTAACTTTTCAACACAATATAGGAGTTTGTTTTAAATCAGAAATTTCTTAATATTGAATAAATAAAGTACTGGCTCCACTAGCAGATTATATCATTTATAACAAGACATTTTTCCAGTGTAATAAGTGAAATAATCTGCCAGTGGAACTGATACTTTTTCATCAATATTAAGACATTTTTTACTTAACACAAGCTATTTCTTGCTGAAAAGTTACTTGTAAGTTAGTTTTGTCCTATTTAAAGTAATCAAATATATTTGAACTCGAAACTAGATCAATACTTGGTCAAACTTTTTGAGGTGTGCTACTTGTTTGCTTGAAGGCAAACAAAAATATGTCTTAATATGCATAGGGTTGAATTTTAATTCTTAATTATTTACCTGCTCTGGTTGGTTTTAATCTAATTCACAAATACAGAATTCATTATATAATTTTAAGTGTTAATTACTTAATAAATTTCAGGTCTTAGAAAACTTATTACAGTTAAAAGTGACAATAATGAGGATTTGGATATTATTTTTGCAAACCATGAGGCTTACAAAAACAAATATGTGTCTATGGCTGAAAGCTTCAATAATCAATAATCAAACAAGGAGAAGATGAACCAAAGGAGGACGAATATTGTCATAATATTAAATTCATAAAAAGCATCACAGAACAGAAGTAAACAAACAAATGAGGCAGATGGAGATAAAGAAAGTCTGTAAATGCAGTGAAACCATCTGATAACAGTGACACGGCCACAGGTTGTTCAGCAGGAAATTAAAAGACTTATTCATCCTGAATGCATCACAGGACTGAACAGAGTTTCAGTCAGACTGTTTCTCAAGAAAAATGCATGATTTGCCATTTTATTGCTAATAGCTTCAGGAATTAACAATTAATTAATTTCTTAGATCTACATGATCCAGGAAAATTAGCAGTCGAGTTCTGCTGATCAAATATTGACGAGTTAAGGGGTCTGTAACATTGCAATATCGCTTACAAAAATCATTTAAGTTTTATTTTCCCCAGCAAACACAACTTTTAATTTGTTTGGCTTAGAGTTGTAGGCGGTACACATAATATTGATTTTAGATGCACTCTTAATTATATGTTTCACATCTCCTCAAATCAGATTTTGTAGTCAAACAAATTAAAGTGAACTGAAGAGGGTGTGAATGCATCTTAACATGAATCCAACCGTGACAAAGAATAACTAAACACAGGAAATAAACATGATCTAACACGTAAATAATTAAACTACCAAGAAGAACTGATCAAAAGCAAAAACAGAAATAAGATTAAACATGAAAAAAGTAGGAAAGCAAACAAAAGAAATCAGCTTCCAGTCTGCAAATCCCACCAAACATATTTAAGGATGTTCACTGAAGAGATACTGCAAAAACACAAAATCTTACCAAGTATTTATGCCCAGTTTCTACTCCAAATATCTCAGTACACTTGAATTAAGATGAACCTAACTTACAGCAAGATATAGGAGCTTTTATAAGTAAATAATTCTTGAATATAGGTTAAAAAGTACAAAGTAAACTCACATTTGTTTAAGACATTAGGGATTTCCACAGGGGAAACCCCACATGATCCTCATGCAGGTCCTTGGTTCATTACATTCAGCGGTTAATAAACAAGAGACGGGGTGGTAGCGTAAAATTTTGCTGAGATCAGACGGTTGAACAATTCCTACTGTCTGTGCTTTATACGCCACAATCGTTAGCCCTTACAGTTCAGGACGGCTTTGTGATCAACGGCATAATGCTGTTTAATTCTGGAGTCAAATGTGAGGCCATCTGCCTGACAGCTGAAGCGTGGCCCTACTGGGTCATCAACAGGACAGGGATCCCAAACACAGCAGATTGGCTGAAAAACAACAGAATCAAGTCAAAGTCCAAACCTCAGCCTGACTGAAGTGCTGCTGTGGGACATTTGGATAATAATCCAAATTTGTTTCTGCAGGCATGTGCAGAAACAAATGCCTGCAAACCTCAAAGAACTGAATCAATACTGGAAGGAAGAAAGGATGAAAAATCCTCTGCAACAACGTGAGAGACAGATACAGTCCAACCTGAAGGGAGAAGGAGTACGGTGTAGGGAACAAAGTCTTTAGGATTCATTCACACCAGACCTGCTCTCTTCAATCAATCTCTGGTTCATTTGTCTAGAAAGTCCGGTTCATTTGTGGAGTTGTGAATGCAGAATCAAACTCTGATGCGAACCAAACGAGTGAACTCTGATCCATCTACAAACCTCGGTCTCGGTTCTGTTGAAGTGAACGCTGGTCAGGTTCGAATGCATACGTGAACACCAAGTGGACTGAAAACTGCTCCAAAAGCAGGAAGTGGAGTGCAGGCAGGGCATTCTGGGTACATACAACCAAAGCAAATACGCGAGGCTAGCGCTAGTGGGAAAAATGCATTGTGGTCTTTTACTGAACACAAAAGAGAAATCCTACAGTCAGTAAAACCTGACATCACTCCATTAGATGACATTTTGTGAAGAAGGAAGTTGCGTTCAGTGTCTTCAGAGGTTTTCATGTCGTTTCCTTCAGCGGATTTTGGTGCAGCGCCCCAACAGGTGAGGAGGGAAACAGGTTTTTCAAAGAGTTTGGTTCATTTGACACAGTGCAGTGTGAAAGAGAAGTGCTGCAGCTGAAAATGTAACAAATGTTGCAAATTTGGTCCCAATTGAACCGAGTCTACCGGACTAACAGGTGTGCTATAACTCTGCACAAGAGTATGACATGGAAATGCTTCAACACCAAAACAGTGTTTTATACCAATAAGGAAGAGTTTTAGTCCATCATCTGGACTGAAACAGGGTTCAGACTGAAGGTGAAACACTCCACCATCAAGAAAAAGAGCCGTCTCATTCTGGGAGATAAAAGTAACACCTGCATCAAAACACCTGGCCCCGTTTCCTGCTCCAGAAACAGCACAGTGAAGCAGAGGCAGCTGCAGAGAGCAGCATCAGCCCCGTCATTTAGAGCAGATTAATAATGCATCGAGTTTCTTTCTACACGGACTGAAGGCGCTTTGCTGCTTCAAAGTGGAGCAGAAGGAAAGCAGCTGCTTTAAACGGACGGAGGATGGATTTTCTTCAACGTTTTTCACATGACCTCGTTTAGAAGAGCATCTAATTGTTGATGAAAGCAGGCTAAACCTGGCCGAGAAGCAAAGAGCTTCACCAAGCTAACCCAAAACAGAAGAAAATAAGATAAATGAAGCTAAAAGAAGATAGGCTAATATGTAGAAAAACGAAATAGACTAAAATCAGCTAAAATGGGATAAACTTAGTCATGTCAGCTCTTCCTCCCTCCTTCCCTCCCAATTACCTTGGTGCACACCAAGTTAGTACTAGCTAAAGTACAACAGATTAGCTCACCAAGCTAATTAATGGCAGGATAAAAACAAAGAAATGTTTAGCTAGAAGTTAATATTGAAGAAGATCAAATAAGCTATATTAAGACAAGAAAAGGTGAAATAAATTCAAATCAAAACAATTAACTAGGATAATGTAAGCTAAGGGAAATAAACTAAACCACACAACACTAATCTAAGAAAAGCTAAAAGTGTCCCAAAACAAGCTGAAGTACAATTTAATACAATATGAAAGGCAATTAAATTTAAAATGAAAGTGAAAATATGGGATGCTATAATAACGCAGCATATGCTAAGCTATCATAAGCGAATAAAAGATAAATAATGCAGGGCTAACCTTAGGCAAGAAAAAATAGAACAAATTAAACTATGTTATTGTTGGTTTAAATGCAAGCTAAACAAAAATAGAATAAGCTACGCTAATGTTAGCTTCAGTAAATTAAGGTATACCAAGCTTAAGTTTATGCATGAATATAATCTAGACTAGAGGTCTCTAAAGTGCGGCCTGGGGTCATTTATGGTTCTTGGACTTAATTTTGTGGCCCCAAACTGCAATTCAAGAAAGATTCAAATTTGTCCCATCCAGGATCGGTGGTGGATGCAGATGGAGACTTTTTATTTGAAATTGTGGTAAAACTATCACAGATAAAGATTTCTTACAATAAACAATATTTAGTGCATCACAAAGTATTTATCTTTTCATAACTAAGCCATATAGTAAGTCGAACCACGCTGGTCTGCTCTGCATCCCCAGAATCAGAACCAAAGATGGAGAATCAGGATTCAGCTTCTTTTCTCCTCTAATGGAGCAAACTTACAGAAAACTGCAAGACTGCCAAAACACAGAGCTTATTTGAATCAAGGCCTGTTTAGAGTTCCCTATGATTAATAATAACTGGAACTTTGATCAGTATACTTGATGTGTATTTGATTGATGCATTTGATGATGTCATTTGACAAATGTAATGTTTACGGTTTGTTTCATAACTGGTTACTGTGTGATGTCTTGTTTTACTGTATGATGTTTTTATGATAAATCTGAACTCATTTTAAATTCTCTGTGAACTTTCTGGGAGTTTAAATTGCAGATGCCATTAAAATCTGTGAGTTTCTAACAGCGGTTCTGGGTCATCGATGGAGAATGAAACTGGGGAATCCTGCTTCCAGTGAAAAAGATGCCCTGGTTTCTGTGCTCCACAAACAGCAGCGAGCCAACAGCAACAATATGTTTCTTTGCAGTCAAACAGAGTTGGCATGGAGCATGAAAAGGATTTCTGAAACATGAGAATAGTGTTTGCTTTGCTGTGTGATTACATAAGGCTGTCGGCACTAAATCCCTGCTGAACGGATGCTTCAAAAGCTTCCAGCGGCTCATCAGAAACAGATCCATGTTCTGATTAGATCTGAGATATAAAACTGAGAGTCCAAGAGGAAAAAGTTCTGATGCAGATCTCACGGGCTTCATTCAAATATCAGAATACAATCAAAGCCAGACAGAATTTAAAACCTCCAACTGACACAATAAAGAACAACAAAGCACTTCTCTTACCAGGACAAATAATCTTGAAGTATATCCGTTTGTTTTGGGGTTTTTTTGGTGGTGTTGTTTTCAGGAAATGAAAAATCTGCCGTGGACTTTGCAGAGAGCATCCCACGCTGAGGCAGGACTGAGGGAGGAAGATGCCAGCCTTTCCCAGTTTCACTGCAGCGCTCCTCCCTGCTAGCACGACCCCCCACCCCTCCACCCTGCCACGCCCTCAGTGGTTCAGTCCTCCTGAGAGAACCGAGATGAGCTGGAGCGTGCTACGTTCCTGCCAGGAGGGGGGAGGAGAGGCCTGAGGAGGCAGATGGTTGGCTGGTGGGAGGAGGGACGGGATGACAGATGTGTTGACTTACAGCAGAGATGCTCTAGATTCAATAAACGCATCACCACTTTGTTTTTTCCCCTCTTTTCTTGATTGATTGATTTTATTGAGTCATTCCAGACATGTCACAACCATTGTGTAGAGCATATGCACATTAACACTATGACCCTTTGCAACTACGTCACTTAGGCTACGTTCACACTGCAGCCTGAAGAGACCCAAATCCGATTTCTTTTTCTTAATGCAACCTGAATCTGGTCTTTTCATGACAGTCTGAAAAACACAGATAGGATTTTTTTTAATGCGACCCAGTCCACTTGGATATCCGATACATATCTGATCTTTTCAAATGCGACACCAGTCTGTACAGCAAGGTCGCATTCATCCAATCTGAACGTCATTGATACTCGACAAACGTCACTATTCTGCGTCCTGATACGAGCAAACGGGAAGAAAAACAACTATGGAACCAAAATGAGGATTAAGCTGTAAATGTGCTGGTTCCGGTCGGACAGCAACTTCAAATATGCTCCGTCATTAGCATCCATGTTTACTTCCACAAACACTGAGCACTACTACTATTTTTTATGGCGGTTGGTAAAACACTGAGCACGCTCTCTATCTGTGACGTTATTGCGCTCTGTACTGCGCATGCGGGACACTTTTCGGTCGTTTGTAGTTCACACGGGAGTTTACATACAAGTGGCATATATTTGGAAATGTGAACGACCACGTCAAAATATATATATATATATATATATATATATACCGATTTGACAAAAAATCGGAATTGGGTCAGTGAATGCAGCCATTTTATCACTTGGTCCCATGATGGACATCAACAGAGCGACTTAAATCGGTTTCCCAAGTTGTTTTTCTCAGTTTAGTCGTGGCTTCTACTCGTTCTACTCAAGCAAATTTGCCTATGAACTTAACACACTTCGTATATTTATAAAAGTTTGAAATAGTTAGCTTAGAAACTGACCCATACTACTTCCTCCCTCCAGACGTGTTGATAAAATTTCCGACTTTACCTGAATTCACGCCACATAATTTATGTCACTAAGTGATAAACGGCGTCTCCCCTTACACCGGAGAAGCCTTAAAACATACAGAAGACGCGAAGCTAACCAGTTTGTTTGTTTTTTTCATACACGCTAGGCGATACATTATTGTGTGGCACTGTCTCCATGGTTACCAATGGTTAGACGCCTACATTCTCCATAATCCCATATTTAATATCTTTCTAATCACACTTATACAGAATTTGAACGTTAATCTTCTTACCTTGTAAAAAGTGTTCGCTGTAAATCCGCGGTTAAACCGAGGGCTGCCAGTCACGATTCACGGCCCCTCAGCACCGAATCTTTCCTCATTAAAAGTTATACAATAAAATGACAAGTTTGGTTTGCATCCTTGCCGACCGCGCAGCTTCCTGTGACCAGTTCGAAAGTTAAATCAACTAAATAAAAGCGATATTAGGTTACCAGATGTCTGTTTTTCGACAGGTTTTACAGGAGAACTAAAGTTGTTTTGACGTCCGTCATCAAGTACATCAGGGCGGAGTTCTGAAGAGCGTGACGTCACGAGCAAACGTCAAATAGGTCAGAATCAATGAAGAAAGCGCAACGAAATTTTAAAAAAAGCAACTCTCAAAAGAAAGTCAAAAATTGTAATTAAATAAGTATATTTCGATAAATATAAACTATAGTAGAAACACAGAACAACTAAGGTTAAAGAAAAATAAATAAATGATGCACACACGTGCATACACACACACTTGAACATAAATGATGGAAAAATAAAAAAAACTTGCAAAAATTAATTTATATTAATCAATACATCTACTGTAACGGAATGCACATAAATAAATCTGTAAAGTAAGTATACACCCAATCTGAACACATCTATTTATACATACTGTTTATCTACATACACACAACAATAATACATAAATCCCATTTAAAATGTCTGAAAAGGGGGTAGGAAGAAGTAAGAACTTAATTAATCCTACCCCCTCGCCAAAACGCCATAATTACAACAAACATACAGAGAAAATAATCTAATATTATTCCAGTGCTAAATGTTATAGTTGTAAATTCACTTCCAGAGACATTCTGCACGCCGCTGCACCATGCTGGTCTTTAATCATATTTATCTCTATTTTTTTTTTTTTTCATCTTTAGACTTCTGCTCTACATCTTCTGGAGACTCTTTCTTTATGCAGGAAAGCATCATCACTAATTGATGAAGGAGGCAGCAGATGAAGGAGATCGGTCTCTTTCAATCATCAGTATAGCTGCAACTAACGATTACTGATCGAATATTCTGACGATTAATTGAATAAAAAAATTGGGATTTTTTTTTTCATTTAACAACCTCATACATTTTTATGCAATACAAAAAATACACTAAAAGATGCAGACGAACAAATTATTTTTTAAAATTTTAAGCAATTACAGCATTCCATTAGTTAACGTTTGACTGTAGCAAACGATGCATCTGCAGCTAATATATTTGCTCTTATTAACATCTCTAGAGCATCAAATTCCCTTCAAGGAAAGTAGAAGTGGTTCATTTTTAGAGATTTTAATGTTAAAGTTATTAAAAACAGCCCAGTTTGTCTCCTCAGATCATTCCTTTTGTATGTATCAAACCTGGAGGTGAAAAATCTCTGAATCTGCGTTTGTGTTCTGTATCCTGCTTTCAGAGTGATTACTGTCAGAGCGAAGCCTCCTTCCTAACAGCAGGCCATATGGAGCCGCTCTGCTGGGCTCATTAGCGCGTTCATGCTGATGCTGTTTTCACCTTCAGGTGGACGAAAAGGTGTCAAAAAGGAGGAACAGGCTTATTATCTTTGAAAAATCTGATGAAATCTACAGAAAAGGAGAAATTAGTTGGTCTGCAGTGAAGCTTTACTATAAGAGTCTCTCATGTGTCTGAAATCGCCAGACAAATAACCTGTTTGTCATTGAGAACAACATTGATGAAAAACAGTAAAGTTGCAGCATACAGAATAAAGGAAAGCTTTTAAAAGGACAAACATTTACTGATAGAAACAAATCTGAGCAAACCGTTCTCACAGGAAGCAGAAAAAAAAAACATGACCACATATACAATCACTCCAAACCAGAGATAAAACACAAAAACCACAGTAAAGTAGAACAAAAACAGGAAACAAGTTACTAGACAAATAAATGGATAAACAAGCAGGCGTGGTGCAGTACTCAAATACAAAAACAAAGTTACATCATGACAATTTCTATAAGAAACATGAAATAATCCAGCTGACACAACCAGAGGAGCTGCATTCAGCAACAAAGCAGCCAAAGTCCAAAGAAAAACACAGCCAAAGCTTCACAAAACCTCAAGAATCAATAAGAAAATATCCTCTAGATGTGCCAGAAGCAAGTTAAAACGCCAAGAGGAAGCAGATTCACACAAAGGTATATGTAAAAATAAGAGACGGTAAAGGCAAACTTGCAACAAACAAATAATATCCAACAGTTATTAAAGAACAGCATCATCAGATTTTGTGTTAAAGAATTGACAATAGGAACGGTAATTTTAAAAAAATGTACAAAACAACAATAAAACAACAACAGTCCATTTGTAAGAAGTGAACAACAAACAACTAGCAAGTCAAGCTAACTAGATAGCAAGCCCATAAAAACATCAACAAAACATTTAATCCATAAATGCATGGATTAAATGTTTAATTTAAGGTAAGACATTCCATTAAAATAACTGATTACAGGAGCTAAGTAGAGTGATAAATATTACAGATGAAAATGAGCATAATAGAAACCAATCAATGCAGGCTGAGAAAGAAACACTACAGGAACGAAAAACAAGAATAAGAGACTGAAGAGCGAACAGCAAATTCACAACAAAAGAAAAATAACAGTTATTAAATAATAGCATACTCAGATATAAAAAATATAACTGAGTGAAGTAATTTAGTGAAAAAATGTTCAAGATGTGCATAGATCAAAAAGCTAGCTAGTTACCTAGGTAGATGGATAACTAGGTTCAATATTTAATAATTTCTGAGATTGTTAGAAGCAGTGATGTTACTGCTGGGTGGAAGGAAGGATCTGTTCTAACACTCATTTGTGCACTTAGGATACATCAAGGACTAATGAGGATCACTTTAAAGAACTAAGCGTGGTGATTTTAACTATTTAAAATATGTTTTTTTTATTATTATTATTTACTTATTACTCAGATAAATTAAAATTCTGTGATCCAGATTTGATCCTGGAAAAGGTTAAAGTTCATCATACAGTCACTTCCCCTCTAGTAAAAGCAGTTGGTTTGGACCAGCTGACCCTAATCCTTCCACTCCCATCGGAATGACTCTCTGTGCGGTCAGACCAGCAGATGTGGATGTTCAAACACACAATCAGGCGATGGGGAACGTCCATAATCCCAGCGGCACACTTCAGCAGGGATTACGTGGATGTAAGCAGTCGGACTGGAAACTCTACGAGTTCACGGTGAATCACCGCTCTCGTGTCACATGTGACCTCACAGGATTTCAGTTGTAAACCTCAGCGTCACTGCAGATCGCAGGGATGCAACTCCAGTCCTCGAGTGCAACTGTTGATTGCCTACCTGCTCCGATGCACCTGAATCAAAAAGGCTGAATTGCCTCTTTGGCATGTCAGTGAGATTTGCAAAGGCTTGGCCATTAACCATTAATTTGATTCATCCAAAAGCTGCAGGTCAGTGGCACTCAAGGACTGGAGTTACAGATACTCCTGACATCATTAAAGGTGGCCTTTTATGCTTCCTTGAACAGCTTAGGATAGATCTATGGTCTTCAAAAAACATGTTTTTTCCACAAAGTCAGTCTTAGGTTTGGCCATTTCTGCCTATTTTGAACACCTTCCAGTTGTTTTAGGGCATCTTGTCCCTTTAAATCCAAATAAGCTGCTGCTGACCACGCCCCCAACTCAACATTTACGCTCCCATGTA